TAACTTTACAAAAAATGATCACAGGTAAAATGTCTTTTTAAATTTGAGCTCAGGACAACAATACCTTTCGAATGATGTAAAAAAATTCTGTCAAAAATGGCTAGTTAAAAAGTCTGAAATTTGTCTGAAGAAAAAAAAACCCACCCCGAGCACAATTATTCCGTTACTTTCGTATCGAAAGTCGGAACAATAGACGGACTTTTCCAATTAGACTTAAGGCTGCAATTCTCATACTTGCACTTAGCAACTGTATCTCTGCTGTATCAACTGTTACAAAACACTACGAACAGGACATTTTATCGAAAATATAACATCAATTAAAATGAGTTATTGATCGTCTCTTCTTTTTTGTGAAGAAAAAATTTCTCAATTGTTCTTCTAAAGCTTCAAATTCAAGTCCAGGTTTCAGTTTTATCTTCTTAGTTGAATTTGTTGTGTTGATTGTGGTTGTTTTTTCAACAGGGAAGTGATCAAATTAGTACAAGGCATCATAATGATTTGATTTCACGTAAGCGCACATTGTAACCGTTTTTGAGAACATCGGGTATCTCTATTTTGGTTGGTCTGCTTGAATTAAAATAACAGTTTTGCTGTTGTGCTTATCAGCCCGATTCCGAGCTCCGAGGTTTTTCCAAAATTGAAATTTAATATCAATGTAAGTTAAGTTATTTGAAAATAAAAATTTGAGAAGCTGTTCTTTGGAAGCTCGACAGTTTTCTAAAGAGTGTGCAATTTTATAAACCTATTTTATCATCTCAGCGGACTGAATAGTATTTATCATAATTTAATTTATATAGTTTACCATGACAAGCAGAAAAAAAATTGTAGTAATCTTCGAAACAATTTTTGGAGGAATCGGAGACAAACACTCAAATCACTGTCTTCAAAATCATTCTCAGTTATATTTTTAAGAGCAATAAAAAGACTCATTGGAAAGTAAGTTGCAGACTTCTTGCATTCGTTAAGTTGTGATTATGCTACGATGTAGTTCTTGTCAGTAAAAACATTCGTCAGATCTTCTGGTTATTGATATTCTTTCTCAGATACGTTTAAAGTCTCGAATGTGTCTTGGCAATTGGTTATAAATGTTGTTTCAATCGCTGGAAGTAAAATATCACCTTTGACTGAAAGATTTCTGTTGTTAATGTTACTACTCCATTTTGACCGCCAACAGAATTTGACATGAAAAAAGTGTTTGAAAACTGCCCAAATTTAGTGTTTGTAGCGCCTCTTACTGAAGTTGTCAACGGCGCCAAAGATCAGAATAATTATGGTTTGGATTTCCCACCACCGGGTGTCATGCAACACGCCTTATTTTTAACTTCGAACCATTTCTGTGAGTAAAACACGAACAAATAACTAATCCTTTATCATCAACTGCAACTGAAGGCTTACAAGCAAATGCTAAGAAGTTTGGTTGATTGTCTGAGTAATCTGAACGAATACTTTTAATTTTTTCCTGCCAGCAAGCTCCAAAAGAAATGAAACTTGGATCTAATTAGTTTAACACATAATGGAAACCAATAAAACAAACAAATTCGATGAGTTGACTCGAACCACAGAAACATCTAATTGATAGAAAAGCGTGCTTGTTCATACATTTCTTATAATCTGAAAAAGTGTGCAAAGTGATCAGCATATGGAAGTTTTTATGATCACGTGTAAAAACCTCAAGAACAGAACTGGTTTTAAACCTCAATTGACATTTCATACGCAAGAAAAAACCACGGAGACTGAATCTGGAAAAAGAGTTTGTAAAAAAACTGTTGAAACAATAGATTTTCTCTTTTCAAGCAAACTGAGTAAATAACACATGGCCACGCATCTTTCCATTCCGGTACTCTAATGATGATATTTTTCAGACAACTATGACAAATTTTCAAATCACGTCTTTTGACGCACTTTTTTGCTTATTTTCTACTTTTAATACCTGATCTTAGATTTTCATCTATTATTGGAAGTTGGAGAGGATACCATTTTGTGGAAACTTGACCGCATTTCATGCAAGATGTATTGGAACCGAGCTGGAAATAAGTTAGGCAACTGGATGACAAATTGAAATCGATTTGGTAGTTCTTGACTTTAGTTGCGAAAGCGAAAATATTTTGATGTTGCTTGCCTTGTTCTAATTTCTCATTTGTAGAGTTTTTCTTTAAGTCTGCATAATCTTGACAAAGGTTGTATATTTTACTTGGTTTAAATTTTTTCTGCATCTTGAGATGCCTGTTGGTTATTGTTTGATGAATCCAACTTAACAAGGCTTAGAGATAATGATTTGTTTTGAAAATTAGTTACCTTCATTTGAACAATTGTTGCCTTTTATTGTTTTAATTATTTATGAAACATAAAATAGTTTAAGTTGAAATTAAATTCAGTTGTGGCTTTGTTGTGTTCATAATATTTTATTTTGTAGATAAAATTTTAGTTTCAATAATTAATTCAAAGTGTTGCCTAGAGTTAAAATGATATAGGAAAAATAGTGCGGTAATAATGACCACTGAACTTATTGAACGTAAACCATTTGTCATTTGCATAAGAATCAGTGTAAACGACAACTTGTAAATTAAACAAACAACAAAAAGTAAAAGTTTCAATATCTCCTCCATTAACACTATCACGTCTCATTTATGCTTTCTCTGAATATTCAGAAGCAGTATAACTGGAATTGTTCAGTTGGTTTAGGGCTAAAATTTGATGATGATTTATATTGTCACATAATTTTTTCCGCAAATGAGACTACTGTATGTCTTGACTGCCTGAAAGAAAAAAGCTGAAACAACGGAACAAACAGTTGCCATCAGGTTTTATCGGAAAGCGTCGCTTTGGGAAAACACCGGTTAGTAGATGAACCGGAAAGAACTTCAATTTATAATTTTGAACCAATTGAAGGTTGTGCGTGGCTGTTAAAACTGTCAACCACATTGACAAAAGATAAGTTATTGGAGGTGCTGATTGATCGAAGATGGACTTCAGATGTTGTGATACCATTTCAAGATTTTCACTGAGAACATCAATAAAATCAGGTTGCCGTTATTCTAAATAAAGAAAAATCATAGGCACCTCAAATTTTTTTATCATGGATAATGAAAAACATAGTGTTTTCACTTTTGTTTCTGGTTCAAAATCTCCTGATCTCCCCTTCTAAATCGATAAAAAGTTTAGCTGAGAATTTTTAAGAATATGGAACCAAATGTTATAAATTGTTTTGGGGCATTATGATTCAGGTACAGCTCATCATCGGAGGTGAAAAAATTGTTGCATTGCGAACACTGCCTCGGCGTTTTCCTTTTTGGTATCTTCGAAAGTTTGCATGTTTTCTGAAGTATACTATTTAAGTATGTAAGAATATTTGGACATAACAAGTTCGTTCAGTACATCCAATTTTATGACAAAACTCACTTCGAAGAGACTTTTTATGTTAATTCATCACCAAATAACGTCATTGAAATATAATGTCTAGAATCAAACTTAACAAATTCACGTTTTGAGCATAAGCAAGGCCACTATGCAATTATAATGATTTTCGCTTATTATTTCGTATGAGCCTTGATATTTGTCTCCCAGAAAATTACCCAATCGTTTTCACAGTGAAGGACAAGATCCAGGCAAAGATATTGTTCGAAATATGATTTGTAGATTAACACCTTTTCGTTGTTGACAGTGACAAACAACCGCAAATTGGCAAAACAAACCACGAGTCTTATGGCACATGATTTGATCTAAAAAATTTGTTTCTTTAACGCATTTTCATAAGCCTGGTCATGCTCCGTTTTCTTTTTTTTTCGATTAATTGAAATTAGTTAAGAAAAACTATCTGTTTTTCATACTTAAGAGGGATTTTAAATAAAGTACGGTAAGTGAAAATTGTTTAATAATAACCGTCCACTCGTTTGCATATCTGTTTGTAGATTTGGCAATATGTTACGCTTTCTGGATGAGCTTCGTGGTCAAAATCTTTAAGGAGACGGACATTAGAGCCC